GCCTTGGCATTTGCAGCTGCACCGCTCGAGACCGAATACTTATTCCACTCATCGAACGTGACGGTCTGACCCCTGATGGAGTTGACACCGCTCAAGAATGATTTGCAAATGTCGCCCCACGCGTACACGACCCCCTCCCGACCCGACTTCTCTTTCCCCACAAGTTTCAAAGCAACCCTCACGAATAGCTGCCCTAACGGCTCCAAGGCCGCCTCGATGCCGCCGAGCCCCTTTGCGATATCCATGGCCTCGCCAAGCATGCGTTCAGCAATCAGTGCTTCAGCCTGCTTAGGCTTGCCTACAACCTTCGAGACGTCAGCCTTCATCAGCAAACGCGCCACGCCGTCCTCAACCTCGTCGCCAGTGGGGCTTGCGATAGCAAGCGACACCCGCACCAACGGATGCAAATTGGTTTTGGACGCAAACGTTGCGTGAGTCAGCGCTTCCCAAAAACTTTGGCCAAGCGTAACATTGCAACCAAATTGCGTTGCAACCGAATCCATGAGCGCCACGAGTGGAGCACCGTCGCCACCGCCGAAATTCTCGACAAGATCAGGCAATGTCTTGCTGTACTTGGCGCTCGACACGTTAAGCGAAACCACGCTCTCGATTGCCAACTCTTCCCAGCTCTCGAGCTCACGCATCCCTGGGCCATTGGCACTCGCCGCCAACGTCATGCAAGTCTCAAGCTCCCCAACCTCAGTGCCGATGTGATTCTGCGCGTTCAAAGCCCTCTGGGCAATAACAGCGAAGCGTGGGAATAACTCGTCGATCACATTAGGGACCACCCCCCACTTCCAGCCCTTCTCAATCATGATTTTGAATTGCTCGTTTTGGAACAGCTTTTGCAAATCTATCATGTCTGAGTCAATGCATTGCAATGACTTTTGAGGCGTCTTGCCCTGGACCCCTGCCTGCTTACAGAAAGCCGTGGTGTGTCCACACCCGACTGTCACGTAGCGCTCTGACCCATTCACAGGTGCTAGAAGCCTTTGGGTTCGATCCACCAGCTGCCTATTTTTACTAATGTGCGTCCATTGGAGGAGGGAGGTGACCCCAAGCTCGATGCACAGAGCATTTGATAGCTGGCGAATGTCAGCTCCGCACGCGTGGACCCTAGCAGCATTGCGGCGTGCGTCACGCGGGCTCAGCAAAAGCCCCCCCCCCCCCCCCCCCCCCCCTATTGACCGCATGCGTGAGGAAAAACTTCGGGGGAATGTGGTCCACTGAGTAAGCCAGCTTGTGCCCGCGAAGGCATTGCATAAGCTTATCCAAATGCTCATTCGCCTTCATTTTCTTCATGTCCAAAATCTTCTGGAACTCCTGTTTGAAAGCTTGGCTAAGCTCGGCCATTGCACACGCGGTAGCTGAGCACGTAAATGAGCAGCTCTGGAAAAGCACAGCTGATGCTATGAGCCGATGCGGCTGCAAACGACAGGAGGCAAATGCAAGTGCAATGGTCAACGTATACATCGCAAGTAAAGCGTTCCAGGCCCCCCAACTATAGTGGATTGCGTGCCCCCCCCACTCTTATCCACAAATTCGGAGCCCACGCTTGTTAAAACAATGATGATGGCATGCGCCATGGCGGTTGCTATTGAATCCGCCGAACGGGCCCTGGAGCGATTCGCGCGGCGATCCCGAAGCTGCAATATGGATTAGCAAACATAAGAATCACGCGGGACACAATTCGACTGCCCGGATGATGGGACGTGCAAACAAGGTTGGTCCAATCTCGATGCTCAAACCCTGACATATGTGCGACGCTGATTCGTGTTTTTGCGTTTGTGGCCCAGCATGGGTTTCATGCTTGTAACGCTTCGGAAGCTACATGTTATTGTGTTGGAAGCTACATGTTAAACACGAAAACGCACATATTGAATATGTGAAAAGCTGATTTCTTAGGTGTTAGCATAGGTCGAATTTCGATGTTAAGCCAAATTATTTATTATGTGAACCTACGATAACCATTTATGTTTGGCATTCGATAAACAGTTTAGCACATATACCATGAAAAGCTGTGTTGAACCAATAACCTACTTAACAACAGCTGAACCTCTACTATTGTTCATGTTGGCTTATTAAAGTCCACATGGACTTTAGCTAGCTATGACAAACAAGCTACGTAGCTATAGCATCACGCTGCTGGCTTACAAGTGGGTTGGGCGTAGCCTACAACCACCTTATCATATCCTTATAAAGCTCATAAGCTGTAACAAAGCCGACATTCATCTCAGTAGCTCTTTTCGCAGCGCGTCGAGATCCCGCAGGCCGAGCGAGCGCGCCGGGCGGCGCGCCGCGTTGACGGACAGTCGCGCGCGCTTTTTTGTCCGCCCTGATTGCGCCCATTGGGGCGCCCCCGCCGGCGAGGTCACGGATCGGCGCGCGCGCAGGCGTGCGCGGGCATGCACTTGATTCGGAGTTTCCGCCTGACCGCGCGCATGCATTCGCTCTGATCTGCCTCGGGGCCCCCCAGGCCCTGCGACTCCTCGCCGGGTGGCCGCGCGCGCTGAGCGCCCTTCCCTGATCGGCGAACTCATCAGCGATATGATGTCAGAGGGCCCGTGCGAAGCCCTCAATGAAACGACGCCCGTTACGCGCGTCGCGTCTTGGCGCGCATGACTCAACGGCGCCGCTGCCGGGATGGGCCCAAAACGACCGCGCAATTTATTGTCATTGATTTTGCGTGTATTCGAGCGGCTCGCATTGGTCATCTGCGTCTACTTCGACAGCGCGTGACATGCATGCCCTGCCTCAACGACATGGCGTGGCTTGAAATGGCATTCGCAATTTACAACCAGTTGCGTGACTAACTCGCTGCCTTGTGGCGGGGTCACGCAATTGCGCCCCTCGAAGCCAAAATCGACAGTGCGCGCGCGTCGGAGAGGCGCCCAATGACCCCGATGATTTGCCCGACGACTTGCCCGGTGATGTTCTTCCACCCACCAGCAATGGTCGCGATCGCACAACGCATTGCCGCGCCCTCCGCCGGCGGCCCGCTGGCAGCGGAAAGCCAGCCTGCTTGGCAGAGAGGCACAATCGGAAGGTGCCCAGGCGCGCTCAGCTCCTGAACGCGCCGATGCCCTTGAATCTCGGGCAGAGCGCTATGCAGCACCGTTAAAGGCTCGGCCCCCTGCGAGGCGGCGGCCGCGCCCGTTCTCGGTCGGGCGCCCCGCGCCCGTCGAACTTATTGTCGCGGGAGAGTCGGCCAGGGATCTCGCGGATCCTTTTGGCGCAAGTCACGGTCAATAGCCCTGCGTTCATCCGCCCTGCCGCCGGGCAGTGCAAGAGCTGCTTCTGCGCGCGCATCCGATCTCTCGCGGCGTTGAACGGTTTTCCCGATTTCGCCGCGCTTGCCGGCGCGCTTTCGTCTCGTCGCGAATCGACACCACGGCCAAATGGGGCGCCCTATTCTGGGTGGAACAGGCAGGCCCCGAAGTTCATCAACGCTTGTTCGCGCAGTTCGTGCTCTCCCGGGCACCCAGCAGCCTCGATGAGGTTGCAATTGCGGCAGCGCGGCTACCCTGCCGATGGAGGGCGCGACGTCGGATCTACGGCATTGACCCCCGAGGACACGCGGACGCTCACCATGAATAACATCGACAACCAGATGTTCCCCGCCTGCCTCGGGCACTAGGTCAAACAGCAGGCCCAACATGACATTTCTTGGCCCGATCGGGGCGTTGTCAAAGGGATGGACACGTTGGGCAACATCGCGAGCGTCGACTCCTGGGCGCTCGAATGGCGCGTCTTGCGCGGATGCTCCAACGCGGAGACGCGGCGCTCACTTCCTGGGCGTTGCCCCCGCCGTGCCGCCTTCGACCCGCGCCTGGGCGGTCGACATGCGCGCGGCGTTTGGTGTTCCCGCAGACGCTGTGACATTGACGTCGAAGCTGAGATTCTCCTCGGCGGCGGGAAGTTCCCTGCGGCGTCGAGCACTTGTACCCTCTAGCGGGTCTCCCGTTTGCGTTTGCGCTCGACCCGGTGCTCCGCGGTCTCGAGTGTCGGATTGCATCTCGCCCCGCTGCCCTCTTCTCTTTCGCCGACGATGTCGGGGCGGCCTTGGCCGACGCGCCCCCCCCTTGTCGTTCTTGCGTGGGTGGCGAATCAGGTTCAAGTTGCATGTCTTTGTCTGCGTTCCGGTCAGCGCATTCTGGTTCTGCCCGGTCATTCTGAGAAAGCTCAACTGCGTCGGGCCTTCAAACGTCCGCGGATCAATCTCGCTGCATTCCAGCTCCTAGGGCGCGGGAGGCATGTCGGCGTCTTCCCGGGCCCAGGCGGGCGCGACGCTTCACGGGGTGCACCGCGTCAGAAGTTGCTCGAGCGCGTTGTGCATGCTCGTCCCAGCTTGCACGTTCGCGACATCGTCGGTTTGCTCGCTTTCCCTCGCGCGTGGCAGCTCTACCCTTTCGGCCAATCATGCGCATCGGAGTGAACATGCCGCCTTGCAGCGTCAAACGGCACCACCGCGACGCGCCATGCCCAGCTCCATCTTGCGAAACATCTCCCCGATGGGGACTATATGTGAACCGCGGAATCTGGAATGCTCCTCACTCGCGGCTACGTTAAGAGCTGCGGCTGGGTCTCGAGAGCCCGAGGGCGCCATGGGCAGATCCCATCGTGCGTTCACATGCGCGCGTGATCAGGGCGCCCTCTGCCCCCCTCGCTATCCTGATTGATGGACGGGCCCCGTCGCCTTCAGCAGGATAAAATGTTGGAGGGAGTTCGGCCTCCGTTGTTCGCCCGTTTCGCGGTTCCTTCTTGTCGCTCGCCCGCTCTGAACGCATGACTATTGCCTAGCCCCCATCCGGTGCACCCAGCGGAGTTCCATTCATGACTTTCATTCACGATCCGACAGATACCACTTCCGATTCCCTGCGCTCCAGCCTAAAACTCGCCCGAGAAGGTTCGGCATCGGCTGGTCGCCCGAGCTCGCAGGTGCCCGGCCCCCCCCCGACGCGGCTGCGATAACTGGTGGGGCACGGGCGCGCGGCGCGCAGGGCGACGAGAAGCGGGGGCTGCTGTCCGTCGTCGCGCCGCTGCTGCGCCTGCTCAGCGTGGGCGAGGAGCCCCCAGAGCAGCCGGCGAGGCGGCCCCCGCCGTCGGGAGGACCCGCCGTTGCGTCTCTTATAACTCAGTCTCTCAGGTCCGCCAGGTTGGCAGTGCTGATTTCTCTCCTTTCGACTCTGTCCGTGCCAGCTCTTGTTATATTTTTTCTCGCCATCCTCATGTTATTCAGTCTCCCTTTTCCCAGCGTGCTCTCCACGAGTTTTTCGACATCCGGGCCCCCCTGCGGCCGGCGCTTTGCCGGCACGGATCGGCGGCCAGCCCATTGCCAGCACAGATCCAGGGCCTCCTCTCGGGCTGGACGAAAGGGGGGGATTGGGAAAGGGGGGGGTACGAAATTTGCTGCAAGCAGCTGGTTTCGGCCCCACCGAGGGGCCTGTTCCTCGATACATGGGCGCCTCCGGCGCCGGGAGGCGCCGGGAAAATCAGCAACGTGAGCTGCTGATTTTCCCGAGGAGTTGAGCAACGTTGTCCTGGGAAGGGGTCTGGACCGTTGGTGGTCCAGTGTGGGCCCTGGGCCCTGGGGCCCAGGCAGCGATTGTCGGCCACACGCAGAAAGGGGGTAGGGGGAGGGAGGAAGGCTTCTGAGAAGCACCCTTGCTTCTTAGAAGGCGCGGGCCTTGTCTATAGATGTAGGGCCGGCGCCTTCTAAGAAGCAGCCTCCTTCTAAGAAGCTTCCCACCTTGCACTGCCCCCTGTGCGCGCGCCGCCAAGATTGGGCGCGGAGTTTGCGGTGTCGCTGTGAAGGAAAGGGGTCTTGTCGGACGGGGCTGGGACGAGGACAAATCCGCTCCAGAGCGTCCCGGACGCTCTGAGAAGGCCGCGGCGCCCGCTACGTCCCCCAGATACGCCAGGTCCCAGAGAGATTTTCGATTCCTCCTCACCCGAATCTGTCTTCGTCATGGCCTCGTCCCCAGACCACCGACGTCATGATTTTTTTCACGACGCGGCCCCCAGAGGTCCGGACCCCCTCCCCGGGACCGGTTCTTCCTCCCGAGTCGTGTTTGGACGGTCCCCAGGCCCAGTAAGGGCCCCCAGGGGCCGAAAACGGCCGAAAATCTCCCGCCCTGATTTTTTTCCGGGCCACCCTCTGCGCGACACGGGCCCCCGACCTCCCGACCCCTTCCCCGAGGCCAGTGTTTCATCCTGAGCCTTCTTGTTGACGGCCCCGAGGCCCCGGCGAGAAACCTCCCGTCGTGATTTTTTCGCGACCCGAGGGGGTCTGGGCCTCAGTCCTGCAGAGAGGTGTCCCGGAGGCTTCCCGCCGTCGGCGGGCGCCTGTGGGCCCCGCCCCGGGCCTCCGAGGGGGCTCTTCGGGGTTTCGACGCTCCAAGACTGCCCAGGAAGCCTCCAACCTCGCCCCAAGAGGGCACAAGATTTTTGTTCCTCAGGCAAAGTCATGCGGTACAGGTTTAAGTGTTTCGTCTGGCAACACTACAGGGTCAATACATCCTCTGGTCTGTCCCCGCCGGAGTACAAACGCAAGTGTACGCAAGAGGGCACAAGAAGCCCCCAGGACGGCCCCAGAGGGCCCCAAAGAGGCCCAAGGGGCGCCCAAGACGGCCCCAGAGGGTCTCGGGACGGCCTCACTCCTGGGGGCCTCTTGGGGCGGAAGGCTCGAATGGTCGGCGCATCCAAGAGGTCAGAAAGAGGCACCTGCAGGAGGCCCAAAAGAGGCCCCAAGAGGCTCCAAAACGCCCCCCCGGAGGTCTCCGGCACGCACTCCAGCGCGCTGTGGCCCTGCCCCGTGCACCTCCCGGCCCAGCGGCGCGACGCCTGCGGCCGTCGCCCCAGACCTCCTCGGGTCTCGACAAAAATCACGATCCAGGAAGCTTTTCGCCACTTTCGGCCCCCAGGGGGCCCTTGCCGGGCCTCGGGACCGTCCAAAAACGACCCGGCATGAAGAACCGGTCCGGGGAAGGGGTCCGGACCTCTGGGGGGCCGCGTCATGAAAAAATCATGACGTCGGTGGATTGGGGACAGCCCACTGCCAGCACAGATCCCGGGCCTCCTCGGGCCATGGAAGAAGCACGACGGGGGGCTTTTGGCAATTCTCGGCTTCTGGGGGCCCTTTGCTGGGCTTCGGGACGGTCCAGAACGAAGCAGGATTGAAACTTTGTCCGGGGAAGGGGTCCGGACCTCTGGGGGCCGCGTCATGAAAAAGTCATGACGTCGGTGGTCTGGGGCCTGGGTTTGCCACGGCTGATGTCAGACCGTCCCCTCCCAGCTTCCCCCCCCCGGGGCCCTCCGCCTCCCTCCTCGTCCCCGCCCTTCCCTCCTGGGAGAGTGGCTTCAAGCGCAACGCACGCACGCACGCACGCACGCACGCACGCACGCACGCACGCACGCACGCACGCACGCACACACACACACACACACACACACACACGCACGCACGCACACACACACACACACACACACACACACACACACACACACACACACACACACACACACACACACACACACACCACACACTCACACACACACACACACACACACGCACACGCACACGCACACGCACACGCACACGCACACGCACACACACACACACAACACACACACACACGCACGCACGCACGCACGCACGCACGCATGCACGCACGCACGCACGCGCACGCGCACACGCACACGCACGCGCACGCACACGCACACGCACACGCACACACACACACACACACACACACACACACACACACACCACACACACACCACACACGCACACACACACACACGCACACGCACACGCACACGCACACGCACACGCACACGCACACGCACACGCACACGCACACACACACACACACACAACACACACACGCACACGCGCACACACGTGTTTAGCAGTGTAACATCACCCCTTATACAAAAGAGATGCAACGAGAGAAAAACGTGTACAAATGAATACGCGCTCTCGATGCTGCTTCCCCACTGTCGGGAGTGGCGGGTGATCTTTCAGCGGTCTCTGCTGCTAGCTTGCCCCCATCCCCTCCCCTTGTCTCCCCTCCCCTTACAGTGAACCCGCATAGTAAGGATGGGCGATTTTTCTAAGGGGGCCCGTGCATCCTTGCCTCCTCGGCCCATCCTTAGCCACTCTCGCTGGCCGCGCCCCGCTCGAACAGCTTCGGAACGGCCGTCCAAGGCCCTTTGCATCCTCATCGTGCATCCTTGTGGTACGGGTCGGCTGTATACCTCCCCTTCCCCCCGTGCCTCTGCCCCCGAGCCCCTCCCCTCCCCATTGCCTCCCCTCCCCTCGTGCGCGCGCCCCGTTGCCCGACGGCTCCTCGCTGCCGGCCCGGCCCAGCCACCGGTGCGGTGCGGAGGGCCGCCGCGGTGCCGCAGCGCCTGCCGGATGCGCTCGGCGAGCGTGGGCTCCCTGGCTCCTCCTCTTGCGTCCTGTGTCCTGCCTCCTCCCCCTCACCCTCTGCATTCTCCCCGTGTTTGTTCCATAGCCCTGCATCCTTCCTTCTCTGTTCGCATCACGTCTCCCCCTCCCCACCCTCCACGACTCCCAATCCTTTCACCCTCGTCATCATTCAATTCCCCCCTCTCTGGTTCCTCCTCCTCCTCCTCCTCCCCTCCTCCTCCCCTCCTCCTCCTCCTCCTCATCCTCCTCCTCTTCCTTCCCCCTCTATCGGACACATGCGGGTCTCCCGCAGGATGGTCCTCCAGTTCATGCTCCTCGCCGCCGCTGGCGGGCGCGCCGGCGCAGCGGAAGGGACTGGGAGGGAGTAAGGGAGGGGAGGAGCAGGAGGATAAGGAATCCCACGGAGCAGACAGGAGCTGGAGGAGGAGGAGGAGGAGGAGGAGGAGGAGGAGGAGGAGCAGTAGAAGGGGAGGCATCCAGCTTAGAATCAAACAGCACGCGCTCGGAGATCAAGTGGCCAGCTCTGCGCACGCCAGGGCGACCCTCGGCCGGAGTGGCCCGTCGCCGGAGTGACCTTTTTGGTTGCGCGGCGCTCGGAGGGCCCGAACGCAGGCGCACGCAGGCCCTCGCTGCCCCACCGCAGGCAGGGGCCCCTCTCCGACGGCGCCCGCCTCGTCTGGAGGGGCCGGCTTTGCATCCGGAGCCCTCTCGTTGAGTCCCCATGCAGGGGCCAGGTTTCCTGTCCCCCTGCAGGGGCCCCCTGCCAGGGGGCCTGTCCCCCTGCCAGGGGGATTTTCGATGAAAGATAAAAAATACCCCACAAACAGTCCAAAAAAACAGCCCCCAAAATAGTCTGGGGACTATTGTTTGATTAGTTTTGGGCCATGTTGGGGCATTTTTTGGGATATTCTTCATTTTTCGTCGAAAATCCCCCTGCAGGGGGACAGGCCCGACGTAAGCCTTCTCGTTGACTCTCCATGCACAGGCCAGTCCGCGTCCCCCGGAGCCCGAGCCTTGAGCACTGAGGAAGGCAGGCCGCCGCTATATACGACGCCCAGGTCTGAGGGACCGGCAATACCCGCGCACCCAGGCCCGCACATCCAGCACTTCGGTGTCCCCCACTCCTCCCGACCTCTTCCCCAGTCGGGTATGGCCAGGACCCCAGGTAAGGGGACCCGGTTAGTGGTAGGGCCCCGGAGCCTTTCAATTGGCCAGAATCACTAAACCAGGTTTGCCATAGCTGGTGTTTTTTTTCGGGTGACGGCAGTTCCGGTTAGTGGAAATGGGACGGGGGGGCGCCCCCGGTACAGATCACTAAACCATGTTCCACTAAACCCAGTGCTGCCAACGCCCGACCCAGGGCCGGCTGTTGGTCCCGAGCAGGCTTTTGTGGTCCCGAGCAGTCTTTCATTGCCCTGGCGAAGAGCGGCGACGAAGCGGCCGTTTCGAGGCCGAGGATTCCCAGGCGCCCACCTCTGAGGGATCGGCAAGCCTCAGGAGGGGAAACCACACGGACACAAAGATCCGCCGATTCCCCAGAGAGCATGGGGCTTGGGGAAATGATTAGCATAGCTACCGGTGTGATCTCGCACTGCACTATTTCGACCGACCGTGCCTAGAATGTGTTGGACGTGCCCCGGGATGTGCGAAGAGATGTGTCCTGGACTGTGAACGCCGGGGTATGTCCTGTCTCCGTCTGCTGGAATGAGCGAGGACATGCCCGACCTAAAGCCAAGGCCAGTGTCTCGCTTCGGGCCCTTCATAACGGCCCCGGAGCGCCAGAGCCCGAACACGGCCCCAGGAAGAGCGAACACACATCCGCCTTGATTGTGTTCAGAACGTCGGAGACTTGGGAGGGTCACTCCTTACCTTGATCGGCCCGATCCTCGATCGATCCTGGGCCCTCGACCATGGACACCTGCGATCCTCGCTCTTTGATCTCCTTGATCCCCCAACTGCCCTCGATCCTCGCTCCTCGATCGAGTATCCACACGGTGGTGGCGTGCGGTGAGGAGGGTGCCCCCAGGAGGTGTCAGACCCCGCTGTGACGGTTCACGGCCAATCCGCGACTGGAATTCCACGGGCTTCCAGACCTTGGATTGCTCATTCAGTGGTTCCTCATCCAACGCCCTCACCGCACTCGAACGTCACTCCGTTCGGGGAAGCGTGAGACTCGACTGAACTCAGGTCTGCCGACGCTGTTTGACGAGGCGCGGCTTGGATCTTGACGGCCCAGTTTTCGTGGGACGTTTGCAGCGGGAACTCGCGTTCAATTTCAGACATTGTGCCTCGTCACTTTCACGACGGCCCCGTGCCAACCCGAGTCCCCCGAACCCGAGTCTTACGTCTCCCCGATCCTTGCGTGCAGACCCTGGGTTTCTCGCCCAGTGGCCCCTGATCCAACGCCCTCGCCGCACTCGAGCATGGATCCTCCACCCGCGACCCTGGATCCCTCCCCGATGTCTTGATCCCCCTGATCCCCGAACTGCCCTCGATCCTCGATCCTCGCTCGCCCATGCACGAGCGTCGCTCCCTGCGTGCAGTCGTCCACGGGGGGGGAGTCTGCCAGGACCGCCGGCTCCCTCGCGGCCACGCCGCGCGAGGTGCCCGCGGCGCGCCCCGGCTCCCGGGCGTGCTCGCCTGCCGCGGGCGCGCGCCCCCGCCTTCCGCCCCCCTCTCGGCTCGGGGGCAACGCCGGGCACGTCAAAAGAGGAGGAGGAGGAGAAGGAGGACGACGGAGGAGGAGGAGGAGGAGGAGGAGGAGGAGGAGGGTCCAGAAGTTTAGCTCAGCGTGTCGCTTCGCCAGTTCTAGCCCACCACGCTTCGGCGCGACACGCCAACTCCGCGTCCCTATGCGAGCGCCCTCGCCCCGAGCCCATTCGGAGCCTCCCGCGCCGCGGCGCGGCGCGGCACGCCAGCCGCTGGCAAGCCACAGCGTGTCGCTCGGGGCCGCCGCGGCGAGCTGCTGAGCAAAAGCTCCTGGCCGTAGGCTTCAGGGGGAAGCATCGAATCCTCCTCCTCCTCCTCCTCCTCCTCCTCCTCCTCCTCCTCCTACTACTACTACTACTACTACTACTACTACTACTACTACTACTACTACTACTCCTACTCCTACTCCTACTACTACTACTACTACTACTACTACTACTACTACTACTACTACTACTACTACTACTACTACTACTACTACTACTACTACTACTACTACTACTACTACTACTACTACTACTACTACTACTACTACTACTACTCCTACTCCTATCCTTATTCCTTATTAGAATATACTCCTACTCCCCCCTCAGGCCGGCCGATAGGGGCCGCATCCGGGTGGTCCCATCCTAACCTGTAAAAAACAATACAAAATCAACATTTTTCTTATTTTTTCCTCTCGACATGGACGTCCTGTCGTCCACGGCGATAATCCATTGCAAAAAATACCACAAAGAGCACACGCGCGCGTTCATGTCAGAATCCTACCGAACACCGTGTGTTTGCAAGCATTTCAACATAAAAACATCAAAAACCCAATGTTTTTTTTCACAAAAATTGTACAAATTTCCCGCCCGGGCTCTCTTGCTGAAATCATAGGAAAACCATAGGAATCTTAAGAATTCGGTCAAATCCAGCGATTTCACGTCATCGCGCGGTGCACTCGCGATGCTCTGTCATGCACCCAGGCCGCGAATCCTGTGCAAAAAATACCACAAAGAGCACACTCGCGCGTTCGTGTCAGAATCCTACCGAACACCGTGTGTTTGCAAGCAATTCAACATAAAAACAACAAAAACCCAATGTTTTTTAACAAAAATGCTTTGGGGTGTCCTGTCAGACCGTCGGGCTTTCTCCGGCCACCTCTGGCTTCCTGCGGTGTGCCGGGCCATTCCCGACTCGTCTGGCAATGCGTGCGCGGCATTCAACACGCGCTCGCCAGTTCCCGTCGACAACCGCCATCGCGGCCGCATCAGCTGTACCAAACCGGCTGGCCGGTGCGACTTCGGCCCCCAGTTGTGCCAGTTTTGCTTCTTATGTTGTGGGAGGGCGGGTGGGACTGGGCATGCCATGCTTGACTCGCTCGAGCTGGCTAGCTCGACTCCTACTCCTACTCCTACTCCTTCTCCTCTCCTCCACTCCCCTCCTCCCTCCACCTCCCCTCCTCCTTCCTCCTCCTCCTCCTCCTCCTTCTCTCCTCCTCCTCCTCCTCCTCCTCCTCCTCCTCCTCCTCCTCCTCCTCCTCCTCCTCCTCCTCCTCCTCCCCCTCCCCCTCCTCCTCCTCCTCCTCCTCCTCCTCCTCCTCCTCCTCCTCCTCCTCCTCCTCCTCCTCCTCCTCCTCGTACTCCTTCTCCACCCTCCACCTCCTCCTCCTCCTCCTCCTCCTCCTCCTCCTCTCTCTCCTCCTCCTCCTCCTCCTCCTCCTCCTCCTCCTCCTCCTCCTCCTCCTCCTCCTCCTCCTCCTCCTCCTCCTCCTCCTCCTCCTCCTCCTCCTCCTCCCCCTCCCCCTCCTCTCCTCCTCCTCCTCCTCCTCCTCCTCCTCCTCCTCCTCCTCCTCCTCCTCCTCCTCCTCCTCCTCCTCCTCCTCCTCCTCCTCCTCCTCCTCCCCCAGGTCGCCCACTGACTGCCGAAAGGGCCGCTGGCCGACCCCGCCCAGGAACCTGCGGATGAGCTCTTAGGGGCCTGTTGCCGATCTGTCGGCGATGCGTCGCCGGTTCCAGGTCGACGCTTCCTCACTGGAGCCGCCCCCATCTAGCGTTCCCCTGCATCTGTGCGGTCGAAGTGGGTATGGAAAGAACCGGGACGAAGGGCGGCAGCAGTTCCTGCCCGTATGCGACATGATTTGCTGCCAGTGTCGCCGCCGGCGGTACCCAGTTCGAGGCGAGAGGCTCGTCGTCGTCGTCGTCGTCGTCGTCGTCGTCGTCGTCGTCGTCGTCGTCGTCGTCGTCGTCGTCGTCGTCGTCGCCGGTCGCCAGTCGCCGGGGGCCGCCAGGCGCCGCCCGCGCCCAGCGGCCCGCGAGCGCGGCGCGAGGAGGGCGCGCCGCCTCGCAGAGCCGCGCCGCCACGCCGGCGTCCAGCCGGCCCTCCAGCGCGGCGCGCGCCGGCCGGGGGCCCTGCCCGTAATTCGTCTCGCCGTTCTTTACCAGCCTCGAACGTATCCCTATCCCTAAGACTGACACGCCAAAAGGCGATGACAATCTCAGGGATTCGCCCTCGAAAAAGAAGGGAATCCCTAAGATTGGCATCGTGATGAGGAGGTGCCCAGCATAGGCATAGGGATATGTTCCAGGCTGGTAAGTTCTGCACGAACGGAATGGGCACGGAGAGAATGGGTACGATGCCCAGCTCAGCGGGTCCTGTCCATTCTGAACAGGGCTCGCTGTCCACGCCGCCGCGGCCCGTGTCCGTTCGAGACAGAAGGCCGCCTGCCCAGCAGCGGCCGCTGTTGGTTTGGGACAACAGTTGTTGTTGGGCAGTGTCCCCATCTTTTCCGTACCCATTTCGGGCGTCCAAAGCCGTGGCTCTGCGCATCGAGGACAAGGTGTAGCCCAGACCCCGTCGCCGTCGTGAGAGAGAAAGGCACTGCGGGAGGCGTTTCGCCACGTTCGGCCTCCCCAGGGGGGAGGCCCTCGCCGGGCCTCGGGGGCGTCAGAAAAAAACGGCTCGGGGGAGAAAGCCGGTCCCGGGGAATGGGCCGGACCTTTTCGGGGGTCGCGCCATGACAAAATCATGACGTCGGGGGCTGGGGACTACCCCCTAACCTCAATGATACGATGAAGACGTGGCCTCACTGAGGTCTCCTTTTTCCATTGGGGCTCATGAATATGGGCAGCCTGGTTCGATACATCTGCAGCAAAGACACCCCTATCCCTACTGTTCCTGGCCCTCCTAAATTGGGTCGCCTCCACCCAAAGGGTAAGGGGTCCTTCTATGCCTAATCATCTACGGTCCCAGACCCCCGACGTCATGATTTTTTCGTGACGCGACCCCCAGAGGTCAGGATCCATTCCCCAGGACCAGCTTCTCATCCTGAGTCGTTTTGTTGCCGGCCCCGAGGCCCAGTGAGGGCCCCCAGGGGCCGACAATAGCGAACAAAATTGCCGTCACGATTTTTTCACCACTCGAGGGTCTCTGGGGTCGGTCTAGTGGACAGTGTCGTTCCGCCGCTTTGTTTCAGGAGGGGAAAAGACACACAGACACAGTTCATCGTCCACTCCCAGGAAAAGATGGGAAACCTGGGAAGTGGGAGGGGAAGACGAAAATCCAGAAAGCATGCGAAAATATGGGGGATCCTGTGATTTGTGTCCTTTGATTTGTGTGTGGCCCAGGGCCGCTCCCTTGTGGCCCACCGCTGTTCGGCGCGGCGCGCCGGCCCAGTCCCCAGCCCCCCGCAGCGTCAGCGCCCCGAGCGCCCCCGAGAGCCTCCCGCCCGCGGGGCGGCGCGGCGCGCCATGCGCTCACGGGGCACACAGTGCGGGGGGTGATATATATATATATATATACATGCATACATACATACATACATAGATATAGATAGATATATAGATAGATAGATAGATAGATAGATAGATAGATATATAGATCTATAGATAGATAGATAGATAGATAGATAGATATATAGATAGATAGATAGATAGATAGATAGATAGATAGATAGATATATAGATAGATATATATATATATAGATATATAGATCGATCTATAGATATATAGATCGATATATATATATAGATAGATAGATAGATAGATAGATAGATAGATAGATAGATAGATAGATAGATGATAGATAGATAAAAAGATAGATAGATAGATAGATAGATAGATAGATAGATATAGATAGATAGATAGATAGATATATAGATAGATAGGTAGATAGATAGATAGATATATATATATATATATATATCGATATGTATTTATATCTACATATATACATATATACATATATATATATATATATATATATATCGGGCCGGGCGAAAGGGGGGATTGGGGGACGGGGGGGGGTACGAAATCTGCTGCATGCGGCTGGTTTCGGCCCCGCCGCCGGGCCCATTCCTCGATACATGGGCGCCCCCCTGCGCCGGGAGGCGCCGGGGAAATCAGCTACGTGAGCTGATTCTCAAACCCCCCCTTTGGTATCCCCCCCTTTCGCCCGACCCGAAGATAGACCTCCTACCCATGACACGTCGATTAGTGAATTGGCCGTTTTCGGTTCGCCAGAGGGCGTCGCGGCCGTTGCTTTTGCGGGTCCAGGTCCGTCGGTTTCGGTCCCAGGCCGTGTTCACTAAGGGGAGGTTTACTAAAGGGCGGTTTGTCCACCGCCGAACAGTGGAGACCCATGCCAAGAAACGCCCTGCTTGCCTCCAGGGTGCCCTGGGCTGCTTAGGTCTCGACGGTTTTGCCAAGGAAGTCGCGGCGTCCCCACACCAAAAAGCGATGGACGTCCTGGGGTCTCAGGGTTGGATCTCCTGTGGAAGGTTTCTTTGTGGACTGGCCTCCACTGTAGCGCGTCGCCGGGGCCGCCAGGGCGACACGCTGAACAGCAGTTCCTGACCGTGGGCCGCCCAGGTGGGGTCGGAAGGCAGGGCACTGATGCTGCTGCCCTCCCCTCGTCTTCGCCCTGTTGGAGCTTCCTGGGAGGCCCTCGGTCGCCACGGCGGGATGCGCCTCGAGGTACTGGTCAGACGTCAGAGCACCCCGGGAGAGGCCCGGGAGTTTAGCGGCATGCCGGCACCTCTCGGTCTCGCCGTCGAGGCCTCCCGGGTGGGGTCGGAGACCAGGCCTGCTCGCGGCCTCTGGAAACACGAGGACGGCAGGTTTTC